AATTCGTAGGGCTGTCGATAAAATGTGATGAAAAAAAATGAAGTGGCAAAACAAACGATATCAATTCCATTCAATATGGCAAGATCTCAGAGAGGAAGAACGAAACAAAAATCAAGAGCATAGCAGAAAATTAACACACGGATTTCGACTAATTCGATGCTAATTGACATTCAACTTTTTTGGGTCAACATTAAGAAGTAAATTCTCCGAAGTCGAACCATCATATTCATCTCATGTTCAACACTTCCGAAGTATCAAACAAGCGATGACGTTAATTCGTATAAACAAAATTTTTTCAGACCAATTTCTTCGTTCAAACAACTACAAATGCAATCAGTAGTCTTTCAAATCTGTCCTCTTTTCTGGCCTTATCGCAACGAAACTAATGCACACTTCTTCAACAATTAATTTCTACGTCATCAATTAAAGACACTAACAAGTCAAACGAATAACAATTCAGTGGAAAAAGATGATAATATTCGAATAAATTGTTAAAATTCAAATATTATCATTCGTATATTCGAATACGAATCAAAATACTAACATTCGAATATTACCCAGTGATAGCATTCATAAGAATGATAATCAGATGAGTGATGGTGTTAGTATGATAAATAATGACAAATCTTATTAACAGCACAATGAGATTGCTAGCAAGCAAATGGTGGCGGGCGGTAGCAGTCTAACAAAATGTTTGATTGGTGTTTATGAGAAGGCGCAAGGAATATGTAGATGTTAAGAAGTAAGCCGTAATTGAACATCTGATTAGATATTATTCCACAAACAAAACAAATGGAACCGATTTACTCATTCTAATCATCGTCACCGATTTCCTCAATAAGTAAATGTTGATTTTCGTTTTCTTGCCTCCTTCCCAATATGCGAACATCAATCAGATCAACCTGAAAATATTATCAATTCAACTGTTTTAATTATTATTTCAATTGCTGAATTGATTGACTGATGATCGAGAAGGATCACAAAGCTGCATAGAACATTGCTTCGAATAAACGGAGATTTTACACGTTATCCA